GCGGAAGGTGTTAAATAGTGTAAAGAACAACATATACATCACTCACCGTGGGTTTGAAAAGGCGAGCTTGTGGTGTCTCGACGTTGAGGTTGTCGAAAGCAAGGCTCCTCCTCATGGGCGCCGAGACGCGCTCGAGGGCCGCCAGCTGGTCGGCGACAAAGTCGACTCCTAAAAGGAAGGTGGTGGCACAAAGATGGGAGGGTGCAAGTGGGAGCGTGGGAAAATCCAGCGAGCCCGAGGCCGCCATGTCGAAGATGGTGGAAAGGTGGGCCATCCGATGACCAAAGACGTGAACACACAGTGTCCTCCCCACAGACAACGCCAACTATCGGTGCGAAAAGTGACCAACAAGTAAATATTTGTAGTTTTGCCATGTGTTGTGATCGGATGTCGCCTAGCACTCAATGACATAGGATTTATACTGGTTCAGGCAGCAGGCCCTATGTCAAGTTTAGGTCGGTCGGTGACTTTATTCCTGAGCCTAGGTGCTCGAAGTTTGTTGTGGAGTTACTATCGAGGACCAATACTAGGGTACCCGAAGAGGAGGAGCTAATGGTCGTCAACATTGATTCATCCGAGCAGTCAAGAGCACGACTACATCTCCAAACCGACCCCTAGGTGCGCAGCCTCCACCTCGCCCGACCCTTGGGGGCGGGCTCCGTCTCACCCCATCCTGAGGCCATAGGCTCTGCCTCACCCAACCCTTGAGGGCGGGCTCCATCTCGCCTAACCCTGAGGCCGCGAGCTCCGCCTCGCCTGACCCCAAGACCGTAGGCTCTACCTCGCCCGACCCCGAGGCCACGGGCTCCGCCTCGCCTGACCTCTAGGTCGGGGGCTCTGCCTCGCCTAGCCTCTAGGTCGGGGGCTCCGTCTCGCCCGACCCCTCAGGCGTGGCTCCTAACGGAAGCCCATACCACCGCCAACCACTATGGGCCAGAAAGTACAACCCAAGGTCAAACTTCTGGCATCGTGCAGGAAGAGGGTACATCTCAACATGACCCATGCCTACGACATGTCACTCCAGGGAACTCACATCACCAACAGTGATGGACATGTGGTCACTATGCTGCCTACTCCCTGTACGGCCGCTGACTAGCACGATGGTTCGCCGCGTCACCCGCCGGGGCAGAATGGGACGTCACGACCCGCTGATAACGCCAGGGCGTGGCATTAGCGGTGAACAGGCGCCCGGCGTGGAGCCGTCCCTGTCACCGTCTGAAGTGTCAATGGGACCCGCACAAAGGAAAAGAAAGGCTCGACGATCTTGGAAGCCTTCCTCTCCTTACCTCTTTCTCTCTCTCTCTCTGTGTGTATGCAGGACATCCCAGGAAGGTGGCGGTTCACCACTCTACATGACTGTAGACATCAAAACACACGCCCTAACACGCCTTAGGAGCACACGCACATCAGAGACTTGGGACCTGTCCCTCTCTCGCTCATTTGTAACCCCTACTACAAAATTTCAATGCTAGTAACACGAGCAACAGCAATGAACTGGACGTAGGGACTTTCTGCCCGAACCAGCATAAACCTCGTGTCCTCAAAACACACCATCCGAGCTAGACGCGCAATACTAGAAATTTACTAGTTGATAACTCGAAACACCGATAGTTACAAACGAGTAAGGAATGAGAAGGGGGGTGTTAGAGGCCCAGTCGGACTCTGAACCGAGTGGAAGAGAGTGACGGATGCTCAAGCATGCGGTAAGTATTGGAACGTATGCTCTGTATGTCCGAGCTTATCAACTGTTGAGAGCGTGTAGATTGTGTAGCTATCGAGTCTACCAGTCTTCGGGGGGGCTTTTAGGAGAGAGCTCATCCCCTTTTATAGTTGAAGGGAATGGCCTTACAAGTTAGAGAAAAAGAGAGAGTATACGTGTGTTGCCTAGTCTTGTTACCCACACCATCGGGTACAGGATGGCCGTCGGCGCCCATAATACTGTTTATGTTCAGACACATCTGGTAGGCTAGTGTTCGCCTGGTACGGTAAACGACGGCGCCCACAATACTGTTTATACTCTGACGCATCTGGCAGGCTCTAGGTGTTCGCCTGACATGCCCTGATGGCACCGTCCTGTAGGTGCGCAGGGCATGGCAGGGTACAGTCCTCGGTATTGCGGTTGACTTGAGCGCCTTACCTTATCTGCTCCGCCTACTCCCCGGGCCTACACCGAGCGGGCATCCCCGGTCAGTCGTTCCCAGTCGGTCCCGGCCGTATCGGTCAGGAAAGAGCAACGAGCAGAGGTCCGACGTATCTTCGGTCGGAGAAGGGGGTCGGAGTCGGACTACGGTGCCACCTTGGCCAGGTCTTCCGGTCGGGGACCGGATCGTTGTCTCGGCCTGACATTATGTATCTAGACTGGCCCTGGCGCGTGTTGTCGCTGCGTCGCCTGCTGGGCCGGGTTTTGCATGGAAGCGAGTCCATTGGGGACCCCGAGTTTATGAACCCGACAAAAGTCATTTGATTTCAGTAACAAAAAAAGGGGGTAAAGTCACATAATTAACGTGTACTGTAGAGTACTGGACAGAACATTCTCATTGTGCTCATCTTTTGAAGCCTCTGCCCTCTGCGTAAGAATGATCGCATGGTAAAGAGCGAGAGAGACCACAAACCAGGAAAAGAAAAAAAATTTGTACGCATCGGACGTAAAGATGGCAACGGGGCGGATTCGGATCAGGTGGAGTCTCCGTGGAACCTAAAACCGAAACCCGAAAGTAAAACCCGAATCCGCCTCGAACCCCGATTCGGGTGAAAATCCATCCCCAAAACCGAAACCCGCGGATCCCCAAAACCCGACGGATTAACCGAAACCCGAGAAAATTACAACAGATCAACAGCGAGGACGCGGACTAGGGTCGCGGACTGATGAGGCGGCAAGGCCGGCGAGGGCTCGCTGGCTCGGGGCGCCGGGTGGGAGCGAGGCGTCGGCGCCCGCCGCCGCCGTCGCCGAGAGCCGCCGCGTCTTGCGCCAGTGCCGATCGCCATGGGTCCAGCGACCGGCGTCCAATGTCCAATGGTCCATGATGTCATGCGGACGGAGACTTCGCTAGCGGCCAGTCGCGGAGACGTGGACTCGCGGTCTCTCGCGGTCGCCCGACGCCGGCTGCGGTCTACAGACTCGCGGACTCACGCGACGCGACGACGCGGCTGCGGTCCTGCGACTATGGATGAGGGTCTGAGGGGTGAGGGTTCCTATTTCAGGCAATATATACTAGGGTTTCTTAGCTGGGCTTTTAGTGGGCCACATATTCGGGGCCCCGATGGAGTATCCACGGGTGAAAAATAGAGTCCGCCCTAAACCCGCAGAGTTTCGGGTATCCGAACCCGCAAATCCGTTGACGAAAAACAGGCACCAAAACCGAGACCCGAGAACCAGAAACCCGCGGATATCCGCACAAACCCGATCCGCTGCCATTTTTAATCGGACGTCTCACCATGGAAAAAGATGGCGATGTCGTCGCATCGCATGTCTCAAATCCTCGGCTTTTGTTGTGGTGTGCCAACATACAGTAGACTGGCAGAACCTTGTCCATGTGCTAGTGCAACCTCCACCCCCTACGGCCCTACCCCATTGCACCTCTCTAGGCCGTGTTCCGTTCGGCCGATTCGGCGCCGACGAAATCACTGTAGCTACACTGTAGGTACAGTGACGTTTGTTTTTATTTGGTGATAATTGTCCAATCGTTGACTAATTAGGCTCAAAACGTTCGTCTCGTAAAGTACAACCAAACTGTGCAATTAGTTTTTAATTTCATCAACATTTAGTACTCCATACATGTACCACAAGTTTAATGTGACGAGGAATCTTCTTTTTACATAGTGTCAAAGTTGAGAATTTGGTGGAACTAATCATGGCCCTGGTCTCAACTCAACTGACGTCTCAATCACTTCACCTGCCCTGGAAGCTTGAACTGGAATAGCCTCCAATCCATTTCTCGTTTATGTGACTCCATTTTAATTTGGTAACCACAGGTGTACTCTTTTTGAATCCGTCACGATGTAAAATTAGCGTATCAAAAGCGGCATCATTTCCTAAGAAAGAAGATAAATGGCCTGTGCCTGACAGCCTGAGAAAGGTATACTCTACTCTATACACAGCTATACAAGCTCTCCTTTTGTGGCTCCCTACTCACATATTGCAATGCAATGCGCCTTTTGCATTTCAGCCAATCATCTCTATGCAAAGTATGCATGTCACTTTTATCAAAGTCAAGAGAATGCTACCGCTCAACGTCATACACCATCAGCTGCATCCTGGAATTCGTACGCATTTCGTTCCTAGGGATTTTCCTATTGCACAGTAAAACTGCACAGACAAGTAGTTTATGGTTGGATTTGGATCGACCATCGACACATGCTGAATATGACAAATGCACAGTACCACCAATGACCAAGGTAGGCGTAGGACCATGACCTCATCATTCCCTCTACTTACCAGCCAGGACCCACACCACCAAAGTTTCCTGGGACCACATGCAGCTCTGCCTTTGATGGGCCTGCGGCGGTCAAAGGAAGAAAGGGCCCGGTTGATGGGCATGTGGCTACCAGAATAGCAGTAGATAGAATACACAGGCACGCAAGCAGCAAACCATGTAAGCTACTTCAGCCTTCAGGCCTCTTTTAATTGCGGCCCGAACACTAACAAGAGGTCCTTCATTGTCCAAAATAACAGCATCTACAAATACTTTTTGTGTGGAGGATTATGGTTGGAGCCCTTTACAGTTGTAGTTGGACAGCCTCCTACCTCCTACTCCGTATTCATCATTATATTGTCTACTAATCCATGATACTCCTATAAGATAAGCGATTAGTTTATATCAAACGAAACATGTGAGGTCACACCGGATGAAAGCGTACATGCCAATTTTGACTCTTGTACTGATATTGATCGAAATCATCTTCTGTACAACAATAACTAGTGGCATATGTACTGTGTAAGCACTAAACAGGCCAAATATGTACACGCCTGAGGACTCGTCATCTTACCCATGCTGGAGCAGCTATTTCCACACTTTGACAGCACCGTCTCTACTGGCTGATATCAATCTCTGGCTAGACAAGTTGAAGGATGCCAGCGCGAGTATTGCGTCACGATGGCACCCGGCAGAATCTGCGGCTGCCACCGCAAGCTGAGTCTTGGGCGTCAAACCAGAGACCGTGGTACTCTGTTTGTACATTTCCTGGGCAGAACACAAAAATCAGTTACAAACAGCAGTTTGCAGAAGCAGAATGCCTTCCATGACTGTAAAGTAAATACTGGGGAAGCGTGAATGGGAGATTAAGGCAAAAGAACTACCGAACAAGGACTGAAGGCTACCTGCACAACTTGTACTCCAAAACTGGATCTTATATCGTAACACTCATCGTTTCCAACTGCTTTCTCCAAAATATCTCCTTTTGCTGAACGGACTTCTTTCGCCGAGGGACCAGCAATACAGAAGCTTTGCTCAGGCCTTCAATGTCAATATAAAAACATCATGATGACAGGAAGTGGACAGGAAAAAACAATTATGAAGCAAGAGGTTAGTACAGATAGAATTGAACCTGGCTTGATCCCAGTAACGAATCTTCAAATCTGTTCCTCCAGTTAATAGATCACCACCTGGTAAGGGCAGCAAAGAGCGTATGCCTGGATGGCGTACAGGTGGGTCATTCAATTCATCAATTCTGTACTTATAATTGCCTGCTCTCCTTATATCTTTGATGATTGGCTTGTTAACAGGCCTTGATGGCGCCTTTGACATCACAGCTTCATTGTCAGTGATCGCTGTTCTAAACATCTGCATAGTTTTGTTGAATATCCCAGATGCAAATTTAGTGTTTGATATGAGCATATGATTTAGTTGCTCACTTCTCAAAAAAAGTGCAGATACTTCTTAGAACATGACACAAGGAAAAGGAACATGAAAATACTTAAAAAATAGAAACATTCACTTTATAAATCTTTTGCACCAGGAGAAGATTTAATTCAGGAAGGAATAGATCTTTTTTGGGTTATGGCACTGAATCTCTATAACAATGATAAAGCCATGGTAAGATATCCTACCAGCAGACCTCGTATAATATACTAATCAGAAAACTTTTTATTACCTGGTGGCAACTTCCATTCTCAGCATTCCACAGAGAAACTTCGTTGCATCCAGCGGCGACAAAAACTAATGGCCTTCCAGCAGAAGATATTGAACTTGGTGGAGGTATAAGCAAGCACAATTTCTCTATAGGGCTTACTGTTGAATAGTTCCACGAGTTAACAGGCAGTAAAAACCTATTGTCCCACAATGTAAGGACGCCTCTTGAAGAACCTGAGATGAACCAATTTCCACACTGGCCCACAACAAGTGCCGATATATAGCCCTCCTCCGGAGAGGATTTAAATGACCAAGATTCAGAGTTCGTTCTTGTATCCCATTTATGGATGCCACAATGTTCAGTGCTGAAAAGAACAGTTGGGCTAAAGCTGTCTGATGAACAAGTTACAACACTGAGAATCGCGCCTTCTTTAATATCATTCCTTTTTACATCGACAATTCCAGCATACCTTTCCACAACACTCCCAATACTACGTGCGCAATCCACAGAAAACAAGTGTAATGTTCCATCGCTAGCACCAACAATAACCTGTGAAGTACCATGAACCATTGTCGTACATAGAGCTCGGCTATTACCCATGCTGTATGTTAACCTAGATCTGAAGGCAATGTCCTTTTCTAACTTTCTTGTATCCCATATTTTGATGCTTGAGTCGTCTGAAGCAGTCACAAAAAAGGTATTGTCATTCGACACGGCAATGTCATTGACAGACGAGCGATGCTCCTGGAGATGTGCCACTAGAATTCCACGAGGCTTCCATCCAGTCTCCAGGTTCACTGCTGATCTGGAGAACGGCAATCCTCCAGTGTCAGAGTTTGGAGTGCTATCCCCTTGCAAAGAGGAACTGCTCTTCATAGAGTCATTGATGCTCAACTCTCGCCGCTTGCTACTAAAATGATCATCTCTAGTCTGCACGCCAGGACGGTTGGGTTCCAACCAAGGTAGCCTTATTGAAGCTTTATACACTGATGAATCAGGGAGCATGTGTGTTTCTCCTAAACCCTGCTTATCAGTACAAAAAGAATATGATGGTATTCCTTTAGATAAGCCATCATAAAAGGAGCTATTTGCAGCAGATGCTTGTAGAGCAAAACCAGAATATAGTGATTTGTCAAAAGAAACGGAGTCTTTGACATCCAAAGACATGTTGCTGGAAATGTTAGGGCCTTTCAGTCGCCCAATATCTTCAAGGTTGGCCGAGGATCCACTTTGTGCTGTACCAGGGTATCTTCCACCATGTACTATCTGTTCTTTCTTGCCACTGCTCTTCAGTAAAATGTCTCCAATGTCCTGAGCATCCTCTAAAGCTTGGTAGAAGATTGATTTTGGTAGCGGAGACTTAAGACATGAAAGAAGAGCAGTTTCAGAGGCCAATGAAGGTGGCTCCCTGTGTAGGAACTGCCTTAGATGAGGAGAAAGGTACACATAAGTATCTACAGATCCTAAGCTCTCGCTGCAGGCAGCAACAAATCTTACAGCAGACTGCTTAACCCAATTGATTGGATACCGGAGCAGGGGGAGAACCTTTACCAATAGACCAACAATTACTCTTTTTCTCAAATAACCACTTCTGCACATCATGGTCAAGCAATGAAGTGCATTTACAAGGACAGCCTCCATACCGTCACTTAGTGCCTGTTCAAGATATGGCAAAAGATATTCCTCAACACTCCTTGCTCCAATAAAATAGCAAACATAGACAATCTGGCCAAAGAAAACTGCGCGGAGCTGCTCATCATGATCATTTAGAAATGCTGGAAGTATAGGAAGAAGGAAATCGTTACTTTGTCTGTGCCCAAAGAAGTAACACAAATAACCTATATCCTGCAGAAGAGCTCTACGGGTATTAGGTGTCTGCTTTTGTCCCATCACCAAATCTTGCACTATCTCATAAATAGATTTCCTCAGTTCTGCAAGCTGGCGAAAAAAATCATCTTGCTTCTTCACTGGTAAATCTGCAGACTGTGATCTGGGAGCTACCACTGATTCATCCAGAAGTCGAATATCCGCTATGCTACGAGAACGAAGTAGGAACCTATAGGCTGTTAAAGCCAGCTTATGAATGTTGCTAGCATAGCAAACCCTAAGACTCTCTTCTGTATCATCAGGGAGCAAAGAGAGCATTGGGAGGATGTACTCAGGGAATATAACAGCATCACTGATAGGAAAATCTTGCACAAGACAAAGAACATCACATAAGGTTTCCAAAGCAGCACAGCGGACAATGGCGGATGGATCTGAAAGCATCGCAATCACATAGGGAACCACTAGCTGTAAGCGACTATCATCATCTATGTATGTGGACGAGAACTTCAGAAGAATGAGACTGGCTCTTCTTAGCTCAGGTTTTTTCACACTGCGTATGCATGAGCAGAGTAATGAGGCAAGCAAGACCATGCCTTCACAGCTCACCTTGGAGTCCATCTGCTGAAAAATGTCAAAACTATAGGTATCTGATTGGTCATCATAAGCAGCCACCAAGGAGGGTAAATGACTCTTTGAGATCTTCACATGAGATACAACATTGTTCCGACCCATCAAACCAGTTCCAATTTGCCTTCCTGCTGGATTAACTAGCTGCGAGGACTGATTACCACTTGCACAGGGAATGCTTGGTGCAACAAAATGGTCAATGTCTTTTGTCACCTTTGTGCTTGTGTTGTTACTCCTGCTCTCCACTTCTTTGAGGAGAAAATTGATATCTCCAACAATATGTTGATGGCCTACAGGAGTATTTTTCTTAACTACGGATGTGCTGTTTCTAGAATCTCCTGGTGAGTTTAAAATTTCCCCTCCCATGCCTTTTCTCCCAGATGGTTCACTATGCTCACACGATGTAGATCTTTCAATTTGTTCAATTGTTGAGCTGCCCATCATTATTTCATGTATCTTCTCAAAATTTTCTTGAGTCTTTTCAACCTGCAAAGAGAATTATGTTTAGAAACTTTGCTGAACAGTAGTAGAGAAACTAAGGTTACTACAGACTTGAATGACCCTTACCCTGGCATCGGAGTCAAGTGGAACAATATCCGAGAAGAACTTGTGCAGAAACTTTGAAAAATAAAATGGGAACACAACAGATTCATATTTCTGCAGATAGCTTCGACATGGTAGCCTTTTTTTGGGGTCCAACTGGATCATGTGAAGTATCATGTCACGGATACCAGTATCTTGTATCTGCAAGCACAAGTTTATTTTATATTTTGGCGGCTTTGTATAGGTAATAGGTAATATCTGAATGGAATCCAACAATCCTCTAGTCAAATAAAACCAGAAAATAGAAGCAAAATCAGTAAAGAAACTGATGATGAGGGTATAGCGTGTGAATGAAGGTACAACAGCAACAACATAGCCTTTCAGTCCCAAGCAAGTTGGGGTAGGCTAATGTGAATGAAGGTACATGAGAAAAATATCGTCTTACTGTCTACATGCATCTTTTATAAGCACAAAGTTTCGGACAAATAAATCGCAAACTGGGGAAGAAAATAATGTGCCTTGGATCAATATCATTTCAGTTTTTCACTGATTAGGTCTGTAAAATATCCTGCTCTGGAGTAAGGGCATACTGAATTAGATTATCCCCTACTTTATTGGTATTTGGCAGTGTTGAAAAAAAAAAAAAAAAAAAAAAAGATCCTTTGGCACATGAATGCCAAGATTTTTCAATTGGTATACCACTAACTCATGTAACAGAAAATCATGAACATGAGAAAAGTATCAACATGAGAAAAGTATCATGAGTTTGCTCATCCAGGACTGCATCTAGCATTGCTGCATTTAGGTATGCAAAGGTTTTGGCTCATGAAAGCTCTTTGGAGTTGAAGACTCTACCATCCATTTGACTATATCCATACTGATCTCCTTAATGATATATACTGGTCCAGTAGGATACATAGGTATTACTCAGGCATAAGAGGTATGAACAGTACAGCTTCAACCATTTAGGACAGGACATGGAATATCTGTGCAGATGTACCAACTTAAATCATGCATAGCAATCATTCACTACCATGTTCCTCTTACACGCTAAATATTCATAATACAAGAAACTTGGCAAAGTGCAGGTTTTGAATAGGTTAGAAACGACGTATCAACATCATGAGTGTTTTGGTCTCAAAACTATTACCCAGGTACATTTTTAGAACCAGAAACAAGATTAAATATGAACTAATTGTCCCATCAGAAATAGATGCGCACACTGCAGACTCAAGTTGCAACCAAAAAATAGTATATAGATGCTAAGAGGTAAGTGGCGATATGTGACCCAAGATTACATGTTAGAAGAATAGAAAGATTACAATGATTCATAACGAAGGATTAAACTATTGAAGAAGAGTAAAGGAACAACATAAAAACCTTTTCTAGGGTATGTATGGGGTCATACTGACCACGCCGATAAGCCAGAAGTTGTGAAAGCTCAAAAAGTGGCTGGCCTTCAAGGAAAAGTTCAGCAAGAACGCACCTGGAAAGAAGATACATAATATACCGTCCAATGGTCAGCATTTTTTAAAAAGAAAATGGCTGTCAGAATTCTAACCTAATAGAGTACTGCTAAAAAATGTGAGGCTGGAGGAGAAATTCACAAAAATCATGTTTCAAAATCCAGTTCTAGCAAGTAGTAACCACTAATCTACTTTTGGAGCTGACATACAGTCCATGAAACTAAACCATGAGATGTGATTTTGTGAAAATACTTAATGTAGACAAAAACAAAGTTAATGAGGGCAAAAAATTAAAGGGCGTACCCAGTGCAGAGAGCTCCCGCTCTGTGCGGGGTCTGAGGAAGGGTGTTAGTGGCAAGCCTTACCCTCGCCTGTGCAATGCGAGGAGACCGCGACTCGAACCCGGGACCTTCCGGTCACAGGCGGTAAGACTCAAAAAATTAACTATTACAGAATCTCTAATTGAATTTGGTTCCAATATATGCAAGCAAGTAACAATTAACATGATATATTTGTGAATAAACATGAAGCCCCAAAAGAAACCAAATTATTTTCAAGCTGCCCCCAAAGTCAAGCTGTGTATTTCAGTGGAAGCCTGTCTCAAGGGTCAAGAAAAGAATAGTTGATGGAGAATGCGGGTTCAATGCAGGTTCAATGTTGTTTGTATAACAACAGTTTTGTGCACTGACTTTTGACAACTGTCTTGCAATAATCATCATCTTTCATCTAAACGTAAAACAATCTGTCCCCCCTTGCCATAGAAGAACAAATGGCACTACAGCCCATTAGATGAAACTAGAATGCCCAAGAAAAACATAACCATAGGCAAACTATTTGACATGGAAAGCATATACTGTCACATGAAACAAAACTAGCTCTTAAAGAACATGTAGAAAAATTAACATGAATGTGAAGCATACCCAAGAGAAAATATATCCATAGATGGTTGCAAAGGTGCGTCTGCTGCAACTTGGGACTCACCACCATGTTCGTAGAATCTCTGTGTAAATTGGATTCATTCACAAAATAGAAAAGCAACAAAACAGGTGTGTTAGATCAAAGATGTATCATAAAAGGTTGACATCGAGAAGATTGCATCACAATGAGTATATCCCTTCTACAGAAAATAATCACTAGTATAGCAACTATTACATCCTTGGTAACAATAGCAGGTTTCAGGATGCAATGTTTCAAGTCGCACAAAAACGACAACATCAAAATGTTGACAGAAGAAAAGTAACTAAATGAGAAGTTGATTGTAACCAGTCTTAAGTCTTAACACGTACACTCAGTGATAGTTTTAACCTGTACCGCAATTACACACAGGATGCAAATGCATGTACTGAAGCAAGCTGCATTCGTAAAAAGGGAACAAGTGGGGAAAAATGAAGCAACAGGGATAAACTATCCAGAGTGACTGTTTAGGAACTTTCCCGGAGGCACCTCCCAATTTTCACAGGAACAGCAAAAGATAGCATATAAATTTCAAGTAAATTAGATTAAGGGGCTCACTTCAGGTGCTAGATAGCATCTTCGTCTTCCTCCAGTGTCGAAATAGAATGAGAAATCAGATGGATCGTCATCCGGGATATACGTTGGCTTGAATGATGCAAAGTCCGCAAGATATAGCCAATTCCAAGAAGTAACGAGCACATTCTCACATTTTATGTCACCTAACCACACAAAAAAAAGTGTGAAAATAACAGCCAAGAGAATTTTCTTCCAATGCAACTCAGACAAACCCTTCTCACCATGGCAAATTCCCTTACTATGGCTCTGCTCCACTGCATGAATTAACTGCACAACCAAATGATCTGAGTCGGCAACCATCTCTGGAAAGGAAAGAAAAATAAAGAATGACTCTTACATGCCCCACTAATTCTAGTGTAAAATTTATATCTGCACTTAGCAGTGAGAATATATGTCCCTATGGGCTATGGACACCAGCAGGATCAACTTCTACGCCTTTGTAAATATTGATAGTCATTCAACAGACAGACAGACACATACACACCAAAGAAAAGAGACGACACCTGAAAGGCAAGCCATTTCTTTGCAATCTGACTGAGGAAAGGGCGTGTACTCAGTCGATCGTGCAGGTTGTTGAAGAAGTACTGTCTCAGGAGATATGCTGCCTTATCTGTTTGCAGCCAAACCTGAACAACATTGGAAGCCAATTCAGCACGTGAACTGAGATGCAATGTACATTCATTGATTCATACTATAAAGTGGCTATTTCAGACACATGCTATCTTGTGCAAAAACACCCAAATAAAGTGGCTATATCACTAAATTTTCATCAGGAATTAATCAAAATAGGTAACCCGCAGCATATAGAGGCCTAAAAATACTAAACCGCTTGAAAAGGCAGTTAAACCAACTTATATATTGCCAAAAGCGCAAAACCTTGCAGTGTAAACTGAACCAAATATACATACAGTAAGTACATGGGATAAAAATCCGCTAAACCCCACTTAAATTTCCCTTAGAAGATGCAATTGCACATTGGAAAAGTGTCGTCAATGGCCCCCTTTCCTGAAGCTACAGCCTACGCCCTACAGGCCAAAGTTCACCAGAATCGGGAGAGTAAGCCCTAAGCACGGAATCCTCACCTGGAAGGGCCATACGTGAGACCCCTCGATCCCCTTGAACGCGTTCCTAATCCGTTCCAGCCTCCGCTCGTGCTCCTGCGAAACCAGCGGCGGGATCTCACGACCACGATCCGGGACCAAATCCGAAGGAACTCACCAGGGGATTGGGGGTGCGCCTGCGAGCAGCCGCCAGCCGCACGCGGGTTACCTTAAGGTCGATTGGCTCGCCGGCGCGCTTGAAGTAGACCTTGACGAGCAGCAGCCCCTCGTCGTGCTTGCAGCGGACGGACTTGAGGAAGCGGCCGCGGCTGACGACGTCGAGGAGCACGAGGTTGTAGGTGGACGGCAGGTCGTGGAGGTAGTACTCCGTCGCCGACGCCTGCGTCGTCCGCGCGATCTTATTCCCCATCGCGGCCCCCGCCTCCGCCGCCGGCGCCGCGCTCCCGGCTCGCCGGCGCCTCCAGGGGGGCTTGCTTCGCTGCTTCGCTTCGCGGGGTGCGTCGTGGCGTTGCGTGGGGCGTAGGCGATCCAATCGAGTCAGCCGTGGCCTGGTGTGTTGGGCTCGAACACGCTGGCCCTCGTTCGCAGTTCGCACGCGGCACGCCACGGCCAGTTCGATGGGAACCTGTTTGTGTTCCGATTCGTCCTGGAGTACAATACAACGGACAGTTTTCTGGATTTTTTGCACGGAAACGGCTTCAGTTCCGAGCCAAATTATATTTATCCATCTATCCATACCGTCAAAATCTAGCACCCAATTATATTTTTATTTATCCATACCGTCTCAATTTTGAATTCAAGCTTGATTTGTGCGGTGTTGGAGTGACGTACGTGACAATAGTTATCATTAGAAATTTACTTTTCTGCCCGCTATCCATTGCTAGCGGGCAAGGAAAGAGAGAAGAGAGAGCATGAAAATCATGTCTGGCTTTCATAATCTGTGGTAAATAAAAACAGCAATTTGTTGTTAGGGAAAAAAAACACAAAACATAGGCTTATAGGACACAAAATGAACAATATTTGATAGTTGACCTGCCATGTTTACAGGTAAAGATAGGGGCAGAAATTAGGCAAATCGAAGAGTCAATATGTCAAAAATGGACTTCTTCTAGTGATCTATTTCAGCAGCGCTTGGAACGAGGGCTGTGTAGAGAGAATGGAGTGAAATTGCACGCAAGGCGGTACATGACTAGATAACTTTGGCTCTGTTCATCATAAATAAAACACGTCTGGCTGAAATGGCACGGAGCCCTTCAATTGATTTTGCCGACCTCCTGGCAGCAAAGCTAACAACACTGCTGATAGCACAATGTCAGCTGAATAAAAGTCGGCATGCTACAACAGGGTTCATCAAATTACAGAGTGACCTAAATACACTAATTTCAAGGTGCACTGAGAAAGCGAGGTGCCAATCAATGAACAAATCAGATTCTTTATCAGTCAGTCTATGAACCTCACATAGGCTCTAGCAACGCTTACAGTTATTGTCAAAGGCTGGCAACATCCTGCAATGGTGATCAATGTCATGATAGTTGTGTAATTATAATTGTATGTAGTAATGAATCGGTCACATGAATTTCTTACTGGTGGTATCTAGTGAGTTAGCAGGGAGCATCTTCATTTCCGTTACCAGATTCTGGAATATGAAAAATGGTTACTTAACAGGAAAACATCTAATGAGGATTCTGCCAGGAAAAGTGGAAAACTAGCAAGAGAACAAGGTCAATACCTTCAATGGCTGATAAATTTTCTTCTTTATAGACCCCAAGAGGTGAACCACGCACAGATAAGAGCATCTCGCCATTCTTGGGTAACCTTACGGTTTTGGGTGTCATGCCGCAGGATAGCCGGTTACTCACAGCCTGTTGAAGGAGTATGTTTATACGCAATCCAGGAGCAAGCATTTACTTGGGAAACATGATACTATAGAAATACAATGCAATACAATTTTTTACCAAATGTATAAACTGGAAAGAAGAAAAATGCATACCCCAGGTGTCTGGAAAGCTTCTGCTGCTCCAGCCATTTGGCCTTCAGGCTGCTCACTCCAAGCCTTCAAAGCAACATGCACTCATAAGAGTAGTGAAGTCTAGAGCACAAACATATGGCGTTGCTACAGGCGAAAACACTTACAAAATCACTGAAATTGCTAGTGCGCCTATAGAAGTCTTCCCCAACTGAATATGTGGTAGCAAAATATCATTTAAGCAGTCTGACGTTAGCTGGCTACAATGAAGTAAATAAACCATTAGTAGGTAGATGACTTGGTCAAACCTGGATCCCTTGGGAACTGAAGTCCATCAGCAGTTGTGAATGATGCAATCGAAGCTCGCAGAGTCCTGTCATCTGAAAAGTCTCCAATCATCCATTCATCTCCGTTATTCCATTTTAGCTCAAGCACATCATACTCCTCATTCGGAACAACCAATAGATCGGGCAAGTTCTCCTGAAAATATTGCATAGCATTTCCCTCCAATTGCTCCTTGGAACAATATGACCGTACCAATTGCAACTGGTAAGGTATGTTCCCAGCCTCTGCATCTTGTGTCGCTTTGATGGCAGTAATCCGACGCTCGCCTGTTTATTGGAACTCTAGGTTAGCAATTTTGAATGACACTCGTTGCATGAGAATATGTAAACAGTGCACTTATGCCATGCATTGCTGATGCAGAAAGAAAACAGTTGGCCTTCAACATTAGCGCCTGAGCAGGATTTAGGGAAACATAATTCGACGCTGCTCTTCTAAATCTGCAAAACAGAACTACTTTAAGGCCCTGTTTGAAACGCATGGTTTTTTTTTCTGTCCCTGTATTTTTGCTCTAAAACTGAACTTTCCCTGCCTTCCAAACGCCCCCTAAACTGTTTGACCTACTGCCATCAAGCTGTTTCACTTAATTTTTGTCAGGTTGAAATGATTCTTCAGTCTAGGAACTAGAATAGCTTGGCTGTGTACATTCACGTGTGGATGTAAAGGCCGGATTTCTATCCATTATTTAAAAAAGGAACTAGAATAGCTAGCTCAACCAGCTTTTGATTGTTGCTTCCAACAAGTTCCTGATAAACAGGGCCAACTGAGCCACCCAAGTCCGGTTAACCAACCGGTAGAGCTGGTACAAAATAATCCACTTCAGAGCAACGAAATCCTTTCCGCACCGTAATCTTGCTTCTTGCCACAACTAACAGAGACTGTGGCCAGATAATATGCTGGCACGATGCATCGACCAAGAGCTGAAATCTAGCGCACTCCCTAGCACTAGCAGAGAGCAGAGATGGGGGGGGGTAGGGTGCCGTACTTTCTTGTTGGCTGACCCATATCAGCCGCTCCTCCAGTGGCGCGTCGGCGCCAGGAGGCACCTGCGGGTCCGGCTCCGTCTGCCTCTGCGACTTGGCGGGGGGCGCTCGCCGTTTCCTCTTCGGCGGCATCGCGTCGGCTCCGCTGCGCGGCGAGCAGGAGGATCTGGCGAGTGGATGCGGGGAGGGGAGAATTGGGGAGGAGAGAATCCCCCAGCTCTCGAGAAGGGGAAATTTTCGAAAAGGAGCAACGGGCACGGGCGTGGAGGATAGGATTTCGCTGCCTGCGGGAGGTCAGAGTTTTTTTTTAGCAGCAAGCATGGGGGCCAGGTCGAGTGGAACGTCCACCCAGTTCTTACGGACGGCCCAGTGTATGTGCTACCGGGTCCAAGTTGGCCCATATATGAAGTATGCGGGCCCAGGCCGCTTTGCACATGTTGCCTATACACACACAAAAATAGCATATTCTTTTTTCTTATATATAGAAAATAAAAATGCCGCCTCTGTGGTCGCAAGCAGCAAAAAAAAAATGTACTCCTCCGTACTAAAATAGGTGAATAGGATTTAAATTTTATACTAGACTACTTGACATTCTTACTTCCCAATATATCTCTCTCTTTTACCAATACTAGGTAGCGTATCCGTACGTTGCTACGGGACAACTAAATCTTTTATACTAAAAACATACGGATCGCACGATAAGATAGCAATACTGTTAAATAAAATACCGACGTTAAAGTGACATTTAATTCAAAAAACAAAGTTCGTGAAATTAACGCAGTCACGGAGAGCGCGACGTCGCAGGCTCACAAACTCTATTGTATAGACTTTTTCGTGATACGGCTAAGATAATATTTTATATCGACAGAAAGATTTCTCCGATATCAATTTCTTTCATGCGCCAATAAATCTATGAATAAGTTCCGTTGCATCTCCATATAATCCTGTACACACAGGTTCGAGTATATATGTAAATATTAGTGCCTGTCACGTGGATAATACTGTGTGTCTTAAAAAATCTCTCACAAAATCTTAAAATAAAGTATGTTATACTCACCGTATAAATATATGTGACTTTAGGACTATTCCATACAGACATATATTGTAGAATAAGATATCTACTTGAGTGTCTGTTCCAAGATGTTGAATTAGGTGTTGTAATTCTTAATTTCGATACATTTTTCAGGTCAAGGCAACCAATGGAGACACATTTCTTAGTGGTGCATAATTTTATTGTGCACCTCTTGACTATCTGAGTAAGGACAAGTTAGCGCTGTAAAGGCTCAGAAAAGCTGCTGAGAAGACCAAGGTTGAGTTTTCCTCCACTATGCATACTAAAACATATGTCCCCGTTTATCATTGCCAATGCTTTTGATGTAAAGCAATTCAACATTACCATGATCAGATATAAGTTTGAGTCTCTAGTGAGCAATCTCATAGAGGGACTCTCATCCTTTATGTGATCTGCCTCAAGGATATTGTCTTCTCTACCCTACATCGTTCTCTTCAGCAATCAATTGATATAATTTCTAGGGTTAAAGGAGTTGCCTGATCTTTGAAGGAAGCCTTGTACGATTGTTGCATGCCGCGCGTCGGATCGCACGGAGGCAGGACGATGGACCCATGTTGGAATGTCACACAAAAAATATCCACGTTTTGTCCACGATTTATTTCCCATGAATACATGCAGGTACTATGATAACACTAACTACACCAAATGAAAGATTAGAGAGAATTTGCATAGCCTCTGTAACACCTCAGGTGTTTGTCACCAGTTAAGCAATGGATTTGAAATCAACCCTGACATGTTAGGTGGTGATGAAGGTGTCAAGATCAAATCTACAAGAGTGAGCTCCAACTTAAACTTGGGCAACACACCTTTGCTTGCATATTGGCCCTTTTCGGATATTTACCTAAGTAATGTTGAAGGTGCTTATTTCATGTGTCTCACATCAATTTCCACCTACATGAATGATTGGAAAAGTTTCATGAAGCTTGGAATCAAGAAGTCACATGAAATGATAAGTATATCTTTGTTTGAATTGCACTATTAAGTGAATGAAATTATAGGTCATCAACCAAACCTTGCTACCTTGCCCAAGTGACTTTAATTGAACTCTACAACAAAAGTCATGAAGGGTTCGTGTTGAGCAGAGGTCAAGAAAATGCCTCAATCAGACTAAAACTCTGATTTAAGCTTTACCGTGATGCTACTTTGACCTATGTTGACCAATCTCTTACAGTGCTTGCATGGAGTTGCATCTTAAAGAAAAGTTGAAGTTTAAGTGAAGTAGAACAAAATATGTTTTTGAACCAAGAGCCAGATCAGCTTGTAAGCAAGTCAAACCAAGCCCTCAAGTTGGAATCCATGCCTGTTTTGGGAGCTCGAAATTTTGCCTAAGTCTATAAAACTGAAGATCAGTTTTCCAGTTTCTTGTGACCATATTCGATGCCTTGTAGTTTGCTGACCAGCTCGAATTTGACCAAGATCCTTTAAGAAATATTGGATATCTCGCATAGCTCTACAACATTGGTTACTACCTCTTGTGCCGACACTAAACGGATTAGGAGTTATAAAGGGACAAAGATTGAGACTTCAGTTGTATGTTTGAGGTGGTATTGGATTTCTTTCCTTCTTGATCAGCCGAAGCAGCAAGGTCGACCGCGCATAGGGTCTCGACGCCGCGTGGCTCCCTCGGCTCGGCTCGCCTCGCTCGCTGCATGCGCGCCAACTCGCCCTCGCTCGTGTTTTGGAGGTCGAGCCCGAGCCCTTGCTCCCTGCGCTCTCCATTCTCCCCCTCCCTCTCGTTCTGTCTCTCTGTCTCTCGCCCGCCATGTCCACCGCGGCTGAGCCACGTCCACCGAATGCACCGCCGCTACTCCCTACTCTACGCCTTCTCCGCTCCTATGGAACGCAGCGCGCTTTCCTCGTCCATGTTGCTTGCTTGGCCGCCGTGCATTGCTTTTGACGTCTTCGCCCTGCAGACCATGGTCATCATGGAAGCTTTGTGGCCATGTTGCGGTGGCTACTCGGGTCGAAGCTAGTCTTGGCAGCAGGCGTGGCCTACCCAGCCGCCTTCCTCCTCTGCACATGGCCACCACAGTTGCTTTGAACGAGTCCTCCCGACGGCCTCCTCTGCTCCGACGCAGTGAAGAAGAAAAGCGAAGGACCGTAGACATGAATTAGAAGAAGATGGAGGACCTAAGTGCGAAACCATAGTCTCATTTAAATAGTGCCCAAAGGACCTCTTCGCTGACGTTTGAGTTCTATTTTCCGCAGGGACCCCGATGCAAGATTTACATTGCTTTTCTTTGATTTTGGCAGATTTGAATGATGAACTTTGAAAATTCATATTAATTAGTATAAAAATCGTAAAATAGTAAATGAAGACTTTTTAGAATCCTTGTGAAATTGTCTATGCATTAGATCTATTATATGACATGTTTTAGTTTAAATATTTTTCTGTAAAAATAGATTTGTGCAGTAAGGTTGTAATGCTAGTTGAATTTGTTATTTTCCATAACTGTAGATCTAGGGCTCCAAATGAAGTGAATTTTTTGTGGCATGCTACTAATGTGATATTTGATGTGTGGTAAAAATTTCATGAGTATTGGATGAAGTATGAGTGAGTTATTGGTTTATCTCGCTCTCACATGATTTCTTGTAATAGCAAATTGTCTTTTTCATAGAGATAGCTATACTTATGCAAATGGTATGAAATCTATATAGTAGACTATTGAGAGAATATGTGAGTTATCGTAATTTTTGTAGAATTTATTGTGCATTTTTGGTATATGTCCATAAATACACCTTGATGTCTAAATAAATTAAGAAATGCTTTAAGAAAATTTATTTAGAGGTGAGCACCATGCTTTCTGGTGTTCTTTAGTCATGTGTGAAATATTGGTAAAGTTGGTTTTAACCAATTATGTGTTTGCAACATAAGTTAATAATTATTTTCTTGTTGATGTGGTTTATGGACAGATCTGGGAACTTAGCAAAGTTCTTCATGATAATGTGCTTTGTTGTGAAACTTGTTTATACAAAAGTTGTAGATAATTCATGTATCTAGCTTCTGTCAAAATTTGGTGTTATTTGGCCAAATAGTTTAAGAGTTACAGCTGTTTAAAGTTGTGTTACAGAATTGATTGCTCTCTGTCTTGCTTAGACCAGTTTCTATAAATATATAATTTCGACCCACTTAACTTGTGAATCATGCTGTGATGGTTATAGATGAAATGTAGAGAATTTCATAAGCTTTCCTGAATGTCTTGTAGCATGGCTATTGGATTTGTATAACTCTAGTTATGATCCAAACATGAAGATGTTGTTTCCAGTCCAGAAATAGACATATGTTAGTTGTGGTTGTTTACTCCATGTGTTGCTAAGTGTGGCTTATGCCCTTGTTGATGGTCAAGTTATGATACTTGTGACCTTGTTAAACTTGTGTCATGCTTGATGTGCTTGCTCTCTATAGTTAGTTGTGTGATGTTAGTTAAATAGCTATTGGTGTCTATGTCTTGCATAATCTTGTGTTTGTCTTGAATGCTTATGTGATGCATCTTGTATTACCATTCTTCATATTCATGCACCTGCATCTTGCATCTCATCTAGGTGTGCTAGATGAACCACGTGAAGGACGTGATGTTGGAGCCGAACCCGAAGACGGTGTATGGTGGACCTATCTCAAAGGTGGAAGGTATGGACAAGTGCTAGGACAGGAGATGCTTACTTAGCGAGTGTCGTCTAACTAACACTGACTCAGTGTGAGATCCCAAGCAAGCCCCGGAGCATTCTAAGTCTCCTACTTTATAAAAGTAATTCTTTCTATATATGAGTTTATATATTGTTGCATTAAGTTGTAGGAGTTGATTGAAACCGTTGATGCATTCATTACTATCCTTGCCTACCTTATTACCTTTTTACCATGTTAGGTCGGGATCGAATAACTGCTTAGCCTTGCTTAGACCGGTAGCGATCGGTGATTTCCGGTCACCTACACTTATAGGTGGGTATTGGAAGAATTTAGCTATGGAAAGAATGATATCCTGGAATTAACCATGTGTGATGGATAATTGGAGACCGGACGGAAAAAGTTGGAGGCAACCAGACAGGGTTCTGGGGGGCTGTT